AGTCAGGCGTGGTGCGTGGTGAGTCAGGCGTGGTGCCTGGTGAGTCACACGTAGGGTTGCACGGTGTATCGATACTAAAAAGGTACCGTGGTACCTGTACGTTAAAAACGATACGATTTTGCATATTTTTAGTATCGATACTTTATTAAAATAGCGCGATCAGAGCGCACTCGCTGTTCCGCTCCCTGTAATGCAGCCTGCAGGCATTGACTGCAAGGGGGCGGGGCTACCCAGCGCTCACACAGCAACAGGCAGCGCGCACTCACAGCGAGTGATCACAGGGGAGACATGGCATTAAGTGCAGGAGCTTTTGCCGACCGTCCTCGGCTTGTTGAAAAACAAGATGCCAGAAGTATCATCTGGAAGTACTTTGGCTATATTGACATATATTTATATATAAAGCCCACTGACCTACAGAGACCCGTCTGCGGTGTTTCAAAGCCACACAGACAGGGAGGCAACACGTCTAACATGGCAAAGCACCTTAACGACAGACACCCCCAACTTTTCAAAGAACGACAGGTAAGCAAATGTGATTATAAACATGAACACCCCAAATCTCCCATATACAGCCTAACAGGAGTAGCCTTAGCCTAGTTTGAGGACAAGCCTGATCATGAGGTCACAATGCTCACACAAGTGTACTAAATGAAACAATTGATGCAAAATGGCTACATGCTGGTGGAGCCTGAGGGTGGATCTTGAGCTAATTCTTTTTATTTTTAGTTAAGGAAAAATAATTATTCCATGAATTAAGATAAAATATGAAGTGAAAATATCAAACTCACTATGCAAGTAAATGAAGCATTGTTTATCCACCCACTCCCACAGACAGTCAGACAGAAGCCAGCAGAGTCAGCAGCAACACAGAGACAGAGTTCCCTTCAGCTGTTAAACATTAATATTAATGCCATTTGTTAAGTGTTCAAAAAGCTGGGCAGGAACAAGCTGGTAAAAAAGGGAGTTTTATTTATTACTATTATAGATAAATATACCAGTATCGTATCGTATTTGTGGTATTGTATCGAATTCTGGTATCGTATCGTAAGTATCGGGTATTGTGATACTTATGGCAGGTATCGTATCGAAGTCATAATTTTGGTATCATGACAACCCTAGTCACGCGTGGTACCTGGTGAGTCACGCGTGGTACCTGGTGTTTCAGGCGTGGTACCTGGTGAGTCACGCGTGGTACCTGGTGAGTCACGCGTGGTACCTGGTGTTTCAGGCGTGGTACCAGGTGAGTCAGGCGTGGTACCAGGTGAGTCACGCGTGGTACCTGGTGTTTCAGGCGTGGTACCAGGTGAGTCAGGCGTGGTACCAGGTGAGTCAGGCGTGGTACCTGGTGAGTCACGCGTGGTACCTGGTGAGTCACGCGTAGTACCTGGTGAGTCACGCGTGGTACCTGGTGAGTCACGCGTGGTACCAGGTGAGTCAGGTGTGGTACCTGGTGAGTCACGCGTGGTACCTGGTGAGTCAGGCGTGGTACCTGGTGAGTCAGGTGTGGTACCTGGTGTTTCATGTGTGGTACCTGGTGTTTCATGTGTGGTACCTGGTGAGTCAGGTGTGGTACCAGGTGAGTCAGGTGTGGTACCTGGTGTTTCATGTGTGGTACCAGGTGAGTCAGGTGTGGTACCTGGTGAGTCATGTGTGGTACCAGGTGAGTCAGGTGTGGTACCTGGTGAGTCAGGTGTGGTACCAGGTGAGTCCGGTGTGGTACCTGGTGTTTCATGTGTGGTACCAGGTGAGTCAGGTGTGGTACCTGGTGAGTCATGTGTGGTACCTGGTGTGTCCTGCCGTGGTCCAAGGTCAGAGGTGGAGTCTGGCAGGTCTGGAGGCTGACTGCAAAGCATCTCGCTGCTGCTGTCTGGTCTGGGTTTGGCTGGGTGGCGTTGGGGTTCGGACCCTCGACACAGCAGCTTCAGGGATGATTTGGTCAGAGCCTTCTTGGCCCGGAGCAGCGCACTGATCGTGTTCAGACTGCTGACGAAGGGTGGCAGGTAGGGAAGAGCCACTGATGTTCCAGGTACCGCCACTCCTCCCCGACCACTCAGCCAATCACGCACCGCTTCCTGGGACTCCAGGAACATCAGGGAGTGGTCAAAGTGCAGCGGAGGAGGCGCTGCCGGGTCCACCCTGACCGTGCCCTTATATGGCATGAAGACTTCGAGGGGAGGCTCGGGAGGTGGGTTTGAGACAGGTTGCAGGATGGGCATGGATGTAAGGGGGTGGAGCTGGTTCAAAACAGGGGGGTGTTCGGGGACAGATAAAGCGGTGGGACTGGTTGATATAGTCCCGGGTGGAGCTGAGAGGGGGACGCTCGGTACCAACATCAGCTGCAGGCCTTGGGGTGGGGCTTGTGCCAGCTGGACCAGCCCACCAGGAGTCATGACCCACATCGACTGACCAGGAAGTAAACAGAACCCAGGAAGCTGAGGCATTGGCTGATTCTGTTTGACCACTTCCTCTTTAAGGCAAGACGTACGAGAGCGCTTATTACGAGGAGAAGAAGAAGTTTTCTTCTTCTTGGCTTCAGCCTGGAAACAACAAAACACAGTAAGAGGAGACGGACTCAGAGGAGGAGACTGACTCATTACATTACAGTCATTTAGCAGAGGCTTTTATCCAAAGCGACTTACAATTCAGAGTCTATAACATTTCTACACCGTATGCACAACTACGAGAGCAATTTCGGGGGTTAAGTGTCTTGCTCAAGGACACAGCCGGGGTTCGAACCACCAACCCTCTGATTGAAAGACGGCCCTGCTATCCATTTAGCCACAATCACCCCCTCAGAAGAGGAGACGGACTCAGAGGAGGAGACGGACTAAATTGCACCGTTCCGTATAGAGAACCTTTAAATCTTTGCACATGTTGGTAAATCACTGATCATCACATGTTAACACACACACACACGCACGCGCACACGCGCACACGCGCACACCACACACCACACACCACACACACACACACACACACACCTTCGCCTGAGTTGCTGCCTGTTGAGCTCTGGCCTTCTGAGTCAGGTTCCGAACCCTCTTTCCTTTTTGGATCACACCTGTACCTGCCCCGCCCACCGCCTCACCTGTCCCACCCATACATTGGTCTTCCCGACTGCTCGACACGCTTGGCTGCTCCTCCCCCTTCCCCCGTTTCCTCCTGCTGGGCGGGGCTTTGGGAGGCTTGTTGGGGGTGGAGTCAGGGGTCGGCCTGGGGCGCAGATTAAAAAAGGTGTAGCCATGATCGTGGAGGAAAGGAGCAAGTAGGCTTGAATTGGAGGATGGAAGGTGCTGATAGGACGGTATGGAGGAGGGCGGGGCTAAACTCAGAGCAGAGGGGACAACCTCAGCAGGAGGATGTTCTCGAGGAGCAGTTGGGAATGTGGTCACGGAGGAGGGAGGAGTCTGAGGTACCAGCTGGATGGGGGTAGTGTAGACCTGCTGAGGAGGAACAGGGAAGACGGTCTGAGGAACAGGGAAGACGGTCTGGATCTGCATTCTCTTTCGTGGCGATGAAGCAACTTTCTTCTTTTCTGCAGCCTGAAAGGAACCAGAGACAGACCGACAACATCATATTAAGAGTTTAAGACAAGTTTAAAAACAAAATCAAAAACAGCTAAGTGTACTGAAGTGGTCTTCCAAGAACAATCAAAGGTCCCCCAGCAGGTCTGAGAGAGCTATGATTCATAGTGAGGCTACCTTGGCTTCAGTGGCTTCCTGCAGAGCTTTGGCCTTTGGACTCGGCTTCCGAATCCTCCTTCCTTCTTCTGTCTCTCTGATCACACTGACACATGCCCCGCCCACACGGGTGTATGCCCCACCCACACCGTTATCTGTCCCGCCCATAACCACCCCACTCTTATCCTCTGCCACCTTTTGTCCCCTCCCTTTGGGGGAGCTTGAGATGAGGCTTAATGGACTGGGGGCAGGACCAGAATTGGTGGACCTGCCCGAGGGAACAAGGTGCTGACTCGGGGGGGTAGAACCAACAGAACCATGTTGATCAGGGGACCGGGGCAAAGCAACCATCAGGGTCTGAGTCAAAGGTACAGGTTGTTGGCGGAAAGCGGCAGAGCAGGTGGACAACGTGGCGTTCAGGGGCACCGGGACCACAGAGTCAGTAGGGACACTATGAGGAGCAGGATGTGCAGGTAACAGAGAGGTGAGGACGCCCACAGGAGGAGGTCTGTGGGGAGCTGGAGAGGAATTGTTCATGACAGGATGAGGAATGAAGACCGCCTGAGGAAAGGACACAGAAGACATCCAAGGATGCTTGTTAGGAGGCATCTGGAGAAGAATGCCGGGGAGGTTCTGACGAGGAGGAGGTCGCTGTAGTAGCAGGAGTTTCTGTTTCTTTTGTTGTTGCAGTTTGTGCTGCTGCTCCTCTTTCATGACTCTCCTCTGCTGCAGCATTCCCGCAACGGTGTTGGGGTTGAAGATGGTGGGACTTGGAGCAGGAGGCGCGAGTACCACCACGCTGTTCTTCCTCTGCTCTATCATCTCCTTGCAGCCTACGGCGTCCACGTTCATGGTCTGGAGGAGGAGCAGGAAGACCGGGGTCGAGAGGAGCCCGGCGGTCTCTCCTCGCTTCCTCAGGCCGTCGGCTGACGTCACTCTGTTTTTCTGCGGGATCAGCACGTTGCCGATCCACGGTGTCACTGCGGCCTGCAGCTCGTAGCACAGCGCCGGGTCCGTCCACCTGCCCAGGGGGTTCTGCTTGTCGGTCTGGATCTTCCTCGGGGGGCCGGAGATCCGGTTGCTGAACTTCTCCGCCTGGCGGTGCAGGTGTGCTCGGAGCTGGTCGGGTGACACCATCATCACGGTGCTGGTGCCGTGGCGCTCCGCCCACCGCAGCTCTCTGGGAGCCGGTCCGAGGATCACGGAGCGTCCGAACTGGCCCAGGATGGTGGACCGGACGGGAACCTGGTTGTGGCCGACTCCGGAGGAAGGTAACTCCACCGGTCGAAAGTTCAGGAAGGTGAACCATTGGGCTTTCTCTGCTGGAATCCACTCCTGCATCGGGGGAAAGATGTACTCCTCCTCTTTCTCCTGAAGACTCTCCACTTCCACTCCCTCATCCTTTGTCTTCATCTTCTCCTCTTCATCACTGTCCATGTACTCCACCACCATCTCCTCCTCCTCGCTGCTCTCCTCCTCGCTGCTCTCCTCCTCCTTCAGGGTCACCATTAGTCTCCTGAGCCTCTTCTTGGCCGGACGAGTCAGTTGCTTCTTCTTCTTCTTCTTCCGTCCTCTAGACCTCTTTCTAGTGGTTTTACCTTTCTGTTGACAGAGAACGCGTTAAAGTCACATGACCTCAGGTCAGCAGTAACAATTATTATATATATATATATATATATATAT